GCTCCCTTTAGAGCTCCTGGTATTGAGTTCCAGTTGAAAGACCTGAGAAGCTGGGGTCTTATGCAAGGAAGTGGCAGAAGTGGACTGCTTTTCTCAGTAAGCCCATTGGAAGGTGCCATCCACATTAAGCCCCACATGCATGCTAGTCCTCTCTAGAAGTACCTCCAGAGATGCACAGCTGTGTTTCACACGTTTTATTCTCTTCCTCAGTCTATCCCCCTCCTTCTCTCCCTCTCAAATTTAAAAATTCATTATATATTTTGTGTGTGTGTGTGTGTGAGTATACATGTGTGGGCATATCTGCCATGGGACACACCTGTGGAGGTCAGAGGACAACTTGAGGGAATTTATTCTCTCCACCATGTTGGTCCTAGGGGATCAAATTATCTTAGGATTATATTTGGTATGTTTTATTTACACACATGGAAATTATGCATGTATATAGAAAATAATATACGAAATAAGGTATATAGAATCTTGTGTTTTTTCACATAAAAAGATTTACATATCAGTAACTGCGGAGCGTTATTACCTAAATGATCTTATCTGAATAGTTTTTGAGACAGGGTCTCCCTGTAGCCCCAGTTGGCCTGAAACTCACTATGTAGACCAGGCTGGCCTCTAACTTACAGAGATCCTCCTGCCTCTGCCTCCCAAGTTCTGGGACTAAAGGTGTGGGCCATCAGGCCTGGCCTGAATAGTTTTTTATTGTTAGGTAAGGAGCGCTCTTCTGGCACCCCCACCCAATTTTAAAGATTATATTTCAATTACTTACTTGTATGTGGGGGAGGGGCACCTTTGCCATTACAGGAACACAGAGGTCAGAGGATAGTTTGTGGGAGTTGATTCTCTTCCACCATTTGGGGCCCCAAGTTGGAATTCAGGTCATCAGCCTGAGAGGCAAGTGCCTTTATCAGCTGAGCCATCTTGCTAGCTGCTCCCCATCTCCATTTTTTGAGAGTTAAAAACAATGCACAGATGAATATAATTCATTTAACATTGTGTGTTTTATTGTTGTTTGCTCTTGTTAAACTCTAAGTTTGAATTCCTGAGCCAGGTTATACAGATTTTAATGACCTGTAATATTGACAAATACCATTGTAGAATAAATGTAGCAATTTGTACTCTTTCCAGTCATATATGTCTGGTGTGGTGACTTATGCCAGCATCCCAGAGTCAGGAAGCCCAGACAACACTGTGTTTCAGATGGGAGGGGGGTCTGTTTACTTACCCTTGACAGTTGTAGAATTTGTAATTTTTTTCCCCTTTCTGAGACAGGGTCTACCTGTATCTCCAGCTGGTCTGGAACTCACTATCTAGACCAGGCTGGCCTTGAACTCACAGAGATCTACCTGCCTCTGCCTCCCAAGTGCTGGGATTAAAAACTTGCACAGCTGTGCCCAGCCTAGAATTTATAATTCTAATACAATATTTTCATTTCTTGCATATGGAATGGTTGTGTGTTTAACAATATTATTTTGGAGGGAAAGATCTTCCAGAGAAGGATGGGGAAGAGTTGGACAGTCATTTGTTTAAAAAGGCCTTAAATGGGGAAGTGGGGACTCAGCAACAGTTAAGAGCATTAGTTCCATTCCCATCACCCACTTGGCAGCTAACAACCATCCATAACTCCAGTTCCAAGGGATCCGATGCCCTCTTCTGACCTCCATGGGCATTGCATGACACGGGTGCAGTTACATACATACGGGCAGTATACTCATACACATAAAATAAAAACAATAAAAATATTTTTAAAAAGATCTTAAATACTAAACTTTTTTTACTTACTTAGTGTCTGGGCATGGGTGTGTCCCAGTACACATGTGGAGGTTAGATAGTTTCTTCCTTCCACCTTGTGGGTTCTGGGGTATTAAATTCAGGTCATCAGTCTCGATAGCAAGCACCTTTAGATGCTGAACTACCTTGCTGATTCCCTTAGGGATTTTTGAGCACTGGAAATGCAGAGTCATGGTGGTGCATACCTTTAATCTCGGCGCTCTGTCAGATCCAGGATAGCTGGGTATTTAGGGAGACCTTGTCTCGAAAGGGGGTGGGGGGCAGCTCTTGGGAGAGAGGCAGATCCAGGCACTCTTTGCCAGAGAAACCTGTCCTGAAGTGTTCAGGTGGTTGGAGTGGGAACCCTGCTCTGTGAGGCATCTGCATGGAAAGGTTGGCAAAGCGTGATTCAAAAGGAACAATCAAACCTTACAGCTTTTAGCTCAAGTTTTTGAGATGTTAGGAGGCAAA